TTTAATGTCAACTTGAATGAGTATTAAGTGGTATATTCAGTCAGTGATGGACCGATATGCTTACCTAAACACAAGGAAATGTTTTTAAAGGAAAAATTTCGAAATCGTTGAAACTTCCTCCTTATTATAATGAAGATATCAGTTTATATTTCGACTTTATAAAGTATCCTGACATTATAATCAAAAAGAGATGATATTTTACCAAAACCCATAATCATGGGTAGAGTGGACCGCTGCCAGTGTCTCTCTTTCCCAAACAAAAGGAAATGATATTAATTTGATTGACCGTTCTCAAATGCAAAATGATACCGAGAATGAAATCGGTCGCTCGCTTTTCCCATTCATTTACAATTGTAATAGATTTTAAGAAGAACTACCCAAAGGCAGCTGTACTCGGCAATAAAGATTCAATAAACTTCAGCTAATGCAATAAGTGATAACTACCACCCTTACCCCGAAATACTAGGTATCGACCCGAACGCAACCCAAAGAGATTTTTACAGCATCTGATTGACATGTAATCAATCGAAAATTATTACAATTCGTAAGCCGTGAATGAATGGGAAAAGCGAGCGACCGATTTCATTCTCGGTATCATTTTGCATTTGAGAACGGTCAATCAAATTAATATCATTTCCTTTTGTTTGGGAAAGAGAGACACTGGCAGCGGTCCACTCTACCCATGATTATGGGTTTTGGTAAAATACATATATACATATATATATATATAGCTTCACGACAATCTGTTGTAAAACAGGGGTTCCAGAAAACCCACTTCCCGATACTCCTGCAACATGAAATTTTTTTTACAGTCGATTTGGACAAGGTCTAGACGCTCTGCAAAGTTTCAGATCTCTAACTCAATTTTAACATGGTTTTTAAGGCACCTGAATATGGCGATTTTGGGTTTTTTACCTAATTTCGTATAACATGCTGGCGCGTATTTTGCGCAAATTTCTTAAAAACTTCCACATAACTATTTCTTATTCCTGTCATCTTTAACATTGAATTAGAATGTTTTGAACTTAAATATACCTGCTGAACTACTTTCGATGAGTCTTAATGCCTGGAAAACAATAAAGGGGATATAATAGTATAGGGGGTACATAGTGTTGTGAATATAAGGGCAACGGTTATGCTTGCCAGCATTGTGATATTTCTATTTTAATTTTACCATTTTTACAGCGAGGCTCGACGTTGAAGGTGAAGTTGTTTTCTGTGTGACAGGTAACGTAAGTGTCTCCTGTGTTTAGATAGCCAGGAAGACAAGACACTAATATAACTTCTTCTGTGCCAATAGGAAAGCTTGCGGAGGTTAACACAGAAACCCATTCAGCCGGTAAACTTGTACATGGTTCTGAAATGTGGTGTGCGATATTACGTTAACTTTAAGTTTAGTGTGATATTGTGTAGGGATTTATAAGCTTAGGTTTAACAAGTGGTGGAAGTGATTCTATTGGATGTGTTTTTAAAGAATGATACTTTTCGTGTTTATATTAAGTGGCAAATTACTTCCCCGATAATATTGATAATTTCCTAACTATTAATTCTCACTGAAGTCTACAACCATCAATAATATTTTCAGACTAAACGATCGTCTGGGTATCCTTCAGAATCGAGACAAATTTATGAAAATTGAATACGCGTAGTATAGTAGCATCACCAGCAACTACAGGGAATTCTGAAAAAAAAATGCGACGAAATTGAGTGAGTTCAGTTGGATAAAGAGATTTTGAGAAAGCTTGCGGAGGTTAATAAAGAGATTTTGAGAGATAAGATTATCTTTTTGAATTAAACAATTCCGGAGCAATTGTAAATTGTTTTAAGTAGAAGTTAACAATTTACTCCGTGTTAATTCTATTAACGATTACCTGAGTAATTATCTAATTCTAATTAGGTAATCATACCTGAGTGTTAATTCTATTAACGATTACCTGAGTAATTATCTAATTAGGTAATCATACCTGAGTCTTAATTCTATTAACGATCCATACCTGAGTAATTATCTAATTAGGTAATCATACCTGAGTGTTAATTCTATTAACGATTACCTGAGTAATTATCTAATTAGGTAATCATACCTGAGTGTTAATTCTATTAACGATTACCTGAGTAATTATCTAATTAGGTAATCATACCTGAGTCTTAATTCTATTAACGATTACCTGAGTGGACATCAAAGCATTTTCTTTCTGCTGTCTTCCATGTGTATCCACCAGTTGTGCCAAGGGTGTAATCCCCAATAATAAAACATTCGGTATATAACCAACTCCTCGGGCTGATTACAACTGACGCACATCTAGGAAATTTGTATCAGCACTATTATAGTTAGATGGTTGATATTAACTTTTGCATATTAAGATATTACTTTTACTGTTCTTAATCATCTAGGGTTATGAGGTTATGGTAAGTGTCAGGGATTAGTTTAGTAATTGGGTTACGCACCAAGGTTACAAGGTTACAAGGTTACCAGGTTACAAGGTTACAAGGTTACAAGGTTACAAGGTTACCAGGTTACAAGGTTACCAGGTTACAAGGTTACCAGGTTACCAAGGTTACGCTAGCTGTTAACGTCTTAATCCGGGGTAGTCACATTCGGAAGATAACATGTTGAGAGGTACATTGTCGGAAGATGACAATATCTTGAATTTGTGCATGGAATGAAAAATTGGTCATTAGATCACTTACTTATAATATTCATTCATGGTAGGCAAGTAACAAGAGATTAAATTTAAAACTTACCCCTCGGTTATGAGGCAGAGTTCAATGCAAGATTCGTCAGAAGAGTACTCCACCTGCGTCAAAACTGATCCAAATGCTCTTATATCGGCTGTGAAACAATCGATGTTTCGCCTGTTTCGGTGATCTGATGAGTTTTTAGATTATCGAATCTGACATAAAATACATATCCACGCAGCCTAGCGGGGTATGATGTACCCCGAAGTTATTTGGGGACCCCAGGCTTTGTGTTCATAAAAACAATGAAGATATGGCGGAATGACAGGCTGAGCACGGCGGAATGACAGGCTGAGCACGGCCCAGTAACCCCGAAGGCGCTATAGCCTGAAGCGAATATATCACGCAGACTCATCGTCCACTAAGGGCTATACGATACTTCCGCCCGCGATGTGAGGTGGGTATGGGATATATCCAACAGGGGCCCGCCGGTTTTTAAAGCTTCACAGTTTTCAACATTCATAGCAACGAAAAACCGGCCGCGATCAAGAAATTGCTTATTATTTGAAAATGCAATCACCCACCGGCATCAGCCATGAGTGCGACTTAGTCGATAATTTTAAGCCTTTATAGCTATAGTAACTGCATCTAGGAGAGTTTGAGACGGAGAAAGAGTGGGACTAGACCATGAAACATATTAAGTTAATAATTAGCAGGACTATGAAATATCAAACAAGTGAAACTCTCGGAATAGGCGGACAGGCGAATCATTTTATGGTGTGGCTAAAGATAGAACAATCATAGGTGCATTTTCCGACTTTTTCACTTGTTTGATAGAAATGAACACTCTACTAACTTCTTGTAATGTAAAGTTCAGTAGGAGAGACTGTTGGTCGAATCGTGCTGTTTGTTTCCACTTCCATAAGTGTCGTAATATCCTTATTGGGTATTAATCCCGTCACTGAATAGAAATACAGTTAGCAGAGAAACTACTAAAACAAAAGGTAACGTAACGTATTACTAGAATATTAATCACAAATAGATCAAATATTAGTTAAAAATTTATTGAATATTAATTGAATATACATATATGTCAAAATTGATTGGAAATTTATTAAATATTAGAAGTTGAATTTGGCACTCAAATTTTTATAAACAGAACTGAGACTTGAAATGTAAAATATTTCGTTAGCCCTCTTTGCCATAAAAATTAAAATTGTGAATGTATTAAATTTGTTGGTTTTTCGTGTCTTAGCAAGATATTTGAATGATTAACTGACAATTAAATAAACCTGCTCTCAAATATAGGACTCCGATTAGAATGGTTACAGTAGTCATGGTTACCTCCATAACAGCATCGCTCAGGTTATCCCCATTTCATGATACATATCTATTCTGAGAAGCAATTAAAGTTGTGACAAAAATAAAAACAATTTCATCGTAACTAAACCATGCCAGAGTTTCGTGTAAATACACTTTATCGGATCTTCTTTCTTTCAATTTGAAAATTCAATAAATTATTATATGATATAAAAATAAATGCATGCAACAGATTTTGGGGAAATTTGTTTCAAGGGTACAGTTTTCCGCATTGTCAGTAAGATCCTGTTTTATAATAATAATAATTATATAAAAATTAGTATAGGCTGTTACGGGGATCATCTGCGAGCGTGCTAAATCACCAACATCGCCCCTGTTGATATATTGTACAAGCAGCAAGGCTCAGATGGTTTGAATTTGGTCATGTGGTGAGGATGCCAGAAGATAGAATACCCAACTATCTTCTGCGTTGGATTCTAATAAGCATGGCAAAAGGTCTAGAGGTAAACCTCGCGAGAACTGGTTATCATGTGCTAAGATGAGAAATACGTATCGTACGTACTTATAAAACCGCCTGTAAGATACGTACTTTTCAATGTTTTCTACAAGTACTTCATAATTTCTATCGTCATAATAATAGGATCGTACGTGCCGCAAGCGCAAGAACCAAGATTGTTCTGGAACTAATCGAACATGCGCATTGGATCAAGATTATTCTGGAAACGTAGATTATGCAACACCCCAACCTTAGCTAACAAATGACAGTTTGGCTTCTCCCCAATGGTAAAAACCCGTACTTTTTCCCCCAATCATGGCGAATGATAATGACACCTCTTATATTTATAACTGATAACATGTTATCGGGTAGAAAGTATAACTAAAGAACAAAATTCCCGCGGAAGCTATAGTTAGCACATCGTGAGATGAAACTTATTCATTACCACGTTTAGTTACCCCACGTTACCACGTAGGCCTTAATTCCACAGAGCCGCACAATTTCGCAACTGTGTTCTAGATTTTGTGCTCTTAAGCTTCCTCTCAGCCGAACCAAATTTCGCCGCACTGTTCTACGCATTGCAGTCAGCAACCATACCACCATGATGTTCGCATACAGAATCTCGCTCCTCTTGCTTCCCTTCCTGACATCTGTCCTCTCTCACAAGCCACACGTTGCTCTGAAGTTTGGAGATGACCTCCGCAGCTACATTATGATAAACCCCGACATGTCACCTCTGGAGGAGGCAGTGTCGGTTTGCAGTTGGGTAAAACAACTCAGCCCTACTTCACGCAATGGAGCCTGGATGCACTACAAGACTCAGGATTATAGCGATGAGATTACTCTCTCTGATAACCTCTCCTGGGCTTGGCTACTATATGGCAATACTCCGCACAGCCAGACACCAGTACATTCTCAGTGGTTTCATGTATGCCTAGCTTGGTCATTTAGCAGTGGTACAGTAACGCTTTACTACAACGGTGTGCAGATAGGGTCTCGCAGCACCAGTAGAAAGTTCTCTGTCTCTACTGGCTCCCTTGTTATTGGACAATGGCATTCAACCTACAAGATGGAGGCTACCTTTAGCAGTGGTTATTCGTTTGGTGGAGAATTAACCAAGCTGAACATCCTGAAACGGAAAGTCTCCGACCAAGAGGTAGCACAAATGTATAAGTCAGGAGTATGTTCCAACTACGAAGACACGCTAGAAAACCACATCCACCTCTCTTGGGAGACGCTGCTGTCAGATGACACTGAAAAACATGGGAATATTGTAAAGTTGAACTTAACTTGTCCTACACACACACACGAGCCAACCACTGGGATACCCACCACTGTAAGACCTACAGAAGAGGGGGGTTGCAACAATCGCTGGGCTTTCCTACGCTTATCCGACATTTACAATAAGGTGGAGATAAATTAAAGAAACAACCTGCTTAGGTCAATTTGATCTTGTATGAATGAAATTAAGACAACCAATCATGTTTGTGATGACGATTGCTAAAGTAAATTTTAAATCAACTTATCATGTCCATACTAGATTAAACTAGGTAGTAAAATAATATTGTCACATCATTTCAGACAATCGAGAAGGAAATGCTTCAAGACTTGAGAGAGAGATTGGAGCTTCTTGCAGAGTTTGATGGCCATCAAATAGACGACACCCTAATAGCACATTTGACAAAACATCACTGTAGCAGCGAGATGCCAAGAGGAGACAACGAAACTGAGGAATCTGGTGATTGCAATAACTGTTGGGCCATCCTCCGCTTTCCTGACTTTTTCGAGAACGTAAGAACTTGTAGACGTAGACTGAGGTTTGAAAATATACTTTGACAATTGTAAATGCGTCAGGGTCCTAATCCTATCAAGGGGTTTGATCTTTTTTATGTACACAACGTTTTTAAATCTAAATATGTTTCGATTTTCAGACGTCTTATCTACATTATATAAAAATAGGAGCTAGTCAAGTTGTGGAACACAACAAGAAAATTGGGAATAATCTTGTGCGAGGGTAGGGACCCAGATGTCGTTTCTAACCCAAAAAAACTTTAAGGAGGCTTCTCATCAGTAGCCGCACCTCCTTACTCGGTTTCTGAACTGGAATTCTATGGGCTTCCAGACGGCCAGACCGAGTATTACCACCCCATCCTTCTAGAGTTCATCACAAGTAGCACCCACCTTGAAGATCTTTGACACCCAGACACACCCCATTGGCGAACAAACTTTGGATATAATCTTACATGCTCCCGAAGGAATCCCTGGTTTATGGTCTTTCTCATCGTCACCAGCACTTTCACTAGAGTCACCAGCCCTTTCACTGGAGTCATCAGCCCAATCACTGAAGTATACAGAAGTATAGTTGTGGAACACAACAAGAAAATTGAGAATAATCTTGTGCGAGGGTAGGGACCCAGATGTCGTTTCTAACCCAAAAAAACTTTAAGGAGGCTTCTCATCAGTAGCCGCACCTCCTTACTCGGTTTCTGAACTGGAATTCTATGGGCTTCCAGACGGCCAGACCGAGTATTACCACCCCATCCTTCTAGAGTTCATCACAAGTAGCACCCACCTTGAAGATCTTTGACACCCAGACACACCCCATTGGCGAACAAACTTTGGATATAATCTTACATGCTCCCGAAGGAATCCCTGGTTTATGGTCTTTCTCATCGTCACCAGCACTTTCACTAGAGTCACCAGCCCTTTCACTGGAGTCATCAGCCCAATCACTGAAGTATACAGAAGTATAGTTGTGGAACACAACAAGAAAATTGAGAATAATCTTGTGCGAGGGTAGGGACCCAGATGTCGTTTCTAACCCAAAAAATCTTTAAGGAGGCTTCTCATCAGTAGCCGCACCTCCTTACTCGGTTTCTGAACTGGAATTCTATGGGCTTCCAGACGGCCAGACCGAGTATTACCACCCCATCCTTCTAGAGTTCATCACAAGTAGCACCCACCTTGAAGATCTTTGACACCCAGACACACCCCATTGGCGAACAAACTTTGGATATAATCTTACATGCTCCCGAAGGAATCCCTGGTTTATGGTCTTTCTCATCGTCACCAGCACTTTCACTAGAGTCACCAGCCCTTTCACTGGAGTCATCAGCCCAATCACTGAAGTATACAGAAGTATAGTTGTGGAACACAACAAGAAAATTGAGAATAATCTTGTGCGAGGGTAGGGACCCAGATGTCGTTTCTAACCCAAAAAAACTTTAAGGAGGCTTCTCATCAGTAGCCGCACCTCCTTACTCGGTTTCTGAACTGGAATTCTATGGGCTTCCAGACGGCCAGACCGAGTATTACCACCCCATCCTTCTAGAGTTCATCACAAGTAGCACCCACCTTGAAGATCTTTGACACCCAGACACACCCCATTGGCGAACAAACTTTGGATATAATCTTACATGCTCCCGAAGGAATCCCTGGTTTATGGTCTTTCTCATCGTCACCAGCACTTTCACTAGAGTCACCAGCCCTTTCACTGGAGTCATCAGCCCAATCACTGAAGTATACAGAAGTATAGTTGTGGAACACAACAAGAAAATTGAGAATAATCTTGTGCGAGGGTAGGGACCCAGATGTCGTTTCTAACCCAAAAAAACTTTAAGGAGGCTTCTCATCAGTAGCCGCACCTCCTTACTCGGTTTCTGAACTGGAATTCTATGGGCTTCCAGACGGCCAGACCGAGTATTACCACCCCATCCTTCTAGAGTTCATCACAAGTAGCACCCACCTTGAAGATCTTTGACACCCAGACACACCCCATTGGCGAACAAACTTTGGATATAATCTTACATGCTCCCGAAGGAATCCCTGGTTTATGGTCTTTCTCATCGTCACCAGCACTTTCACTAGAGTCACCAGCCCTTTCACTGGAGTCATCAGCCCAATCACTGAAGTATACAGAAGTATAGTTGTGGAACACAACAAGAAAATTGAGAATAATCTTGTGCGAGGGTAGGGACCCAGATGTCGTTTCTAACCCAAAAAAACTTTAAGGAGGCTTCTCATCAGTAGCCGCACCTCCTTACTCGGTTTCTGAACTGGAATTCTATGGGCTTCCAGACGGCCAGACCGAGTATTACCACCCCATCCTTCTAGAGTTCATCACAAGTAGCACCCACCTTGAAGATCTTTGACACCCAGACACACCCCATTGGCGAACAAACTTTGGATATAATCTTACATGCTCCCGAAGGAATCCCTGGTTTATGGTCTTTCTCATCGTCACCAGCACTTTCACTAGAGTCACCAGCCCTTTCACTGGAGTCATCAGCCCAATCACTGAAGTATACAGAAGTATAGTTGTGGAACACAACAAGAAAATTGAGAATAATCTTGTGCGAGGGTAGGGACCCAGATGTCGTTTCTAACCCAAAAAAACTTTAAGGAGGCTTCTCATCAGTAGCCGCACCTCCTTACTCGGTTTCTGAACTGGAATTCTATGGGCTTCCAGACGGCCAGACCGAGTATTACCACCCCATCCTTCTAGAGTTCATCACAAGTAGCACCCACCTTGAAGATCTTTGACACCCAGACACACCCCATTGGCGAACAAACTTTGGATATAATCTTACATGCTCCCGAAGGAATCCCTGGTTTATGGTCTTTCTCATCGTCACCAGCACTTTCACTAGAGTCACCAGCCCTTTCACTGGAGTCATCAGCCCAATCACTGAAGTATACAGAAGTATAGTTGTGGAACACAACAAGAAAATTGAGAATAATCTTGTGCGAGGGTAGGGACCCAGATGTCGTTTCTAACCCAAAAAAACTTTAAGGAGGCTTCTCATCAGTAGCCGCACCTCCTTACTCGGTTTCTGAACTGGAATTCTATGGGCTTCCAGACGGCCAGACCGAGTATTACCACCCCATCCTTCTAGAGTTCATCACAAGTAGCACCCACCTTGAAGATCTTTGACACCCAGACACACCCCATTGGCGAACAAACTTTGGATATAATCTTACATGCTCCCGAAGGAATCCCTGGTTTATGGTCTTTCTCATCGTCACCAGCACTTTCACTAGAGTCACCAGCCCTTTCACTGGAGTCATCAGCCCAATCACTGAAGTATACAGAAGTATAGTTGTGGAACACAACAAGAAAATTGAGAATAATCTTGTGCGAGGGTAGGGACCCAGATGTCGTTTCTAACCCAAAAAAACTTTAAGGAGGCTTCTCATCAGTAGCCGCACCTCCTTACTCGGTTTCTGAACTGGAATTCTATGGGCTTCCAGACGGCCAGACCGAGTATTACCACCCCATCCTTCTAGAGTTCATCACAAGTAGCACCCACCTTGAAGATCTTTGACACCCAGACACACCCCATTGGCGAACAAACTTTGGATATAATCTTACATGCTCCCGAAGGAATCCCTGGTTTATGGTCTTTCTCATCGTCACCAGCACTTTCACTAGAGTCACCAGCCCTTTCACTGGAGTCATCAGCCCAATCACTGAAGTATACAGAAGTATAGTTGTGGAACACAACAAGAAAATTGAGAATAATCTTGTGCGAGGGTAGGGACCCAGATGTCGTTTCTAACCCAAAAAAACTTTAAGGAGGCTTCTCATCAGTAGCCGCACCTCCTTACTCGGTTTCTGAACTGGAATTCTATGGGCTTCCAGACGGCCAGACCGAGTATTACCACCCCATCCTTCTAGAGTTCATCACAAGTAGCACCCACCTTGAAGATCTTTGACACCCAGACACACCCCATTGGCGAACAAACTTTGGATATAATCTTACATGCTCCCGAAGGAATCCCTGGTTTATGGTCTTTCTCATCGTCACCAGCACTTTCACTAGAGTCACCAGCCCTTTCACTGGAGTCATCAGCCCAATCACTGAAGTATACAGAAGTATAGTTGTGGAACACAACAAGAAAATTGAGAATAATCTTGTGCGAGGGTAGGGACCCAGATGTCGTTTCTAACCCAAAAAAACTTTAAGGAGGCTTCTCATCAGTAGCCGCACCTCCTTACTCGGTTTCTGAACTGGAATTCTATGGGCTTCCAGACGGCCAGACCGAGTATTACCACCCCATCCTTCTAGAGTTCATCACAAGTAGCACCCACCTTGAAGATCTTTGACACCCAGACACACCCCATTGGCGAACAAACTTTGGATATAATCTTACATGCTCCCGAAGGAATCCCTGGTTTATGGTCTTTCTCATCGTCACCAGCACTTTCACTAGAGTCACCAGCCCTTTCACTGGAGTCATCAGCCCAATCACTGAAGTATACAGAAGTATAGTTGTGGAACACAACAAGAAAATTGAGAATAATCTTGTGCGAGGGTAGGGACCCAGATGTCGTTTCTAACCCAAAAAAACTTTAAGGAGGCTTCTCATCAGTAGCCGCACCTCCTTACTCGGTTTCTGAACTGGAATTCTATGGGCTTCCAGACGGCCAGACCGAGTATTACCACCCCATCCTTCTAGAGTTCATCACAAGTAGCACCCACCTTGAAGATCTTTGACACCCAGACACACCCCATTGGCGAACAAACTTTGGATATAATCTTACATGCTCCCGAAGGAATCCCTGGTTTATGGTCTTTCTCATCGTCACCAGCACTTTCACTAGAGTCACCAGCCCTTTCACTGGAGTCATCAGCCCAATCACTGAAGTATACAGAAGTATAGTTGTGGAACACAACAAGAAAATTGAGAATAATCTTGTGCGAGGGTAGGGACCCAGATGTCGTTTCTAACCCAAAAAAACTTTAAGGAGGCTTCTCATCAGTAGCCGCACCTCCTTACTCGGTTTCTGAACTGGAATTCTATGGGCTTCCAGACGGCCAGACCGAGTATTACCACCCCATCCTTCTAGAGTTCATCACAAGTAGCACCCACCTTGAAGATCTTTGACACCCAGACACACCCCATTGGCGAACAAACTATCAGTTGAGTTT